GTAAAAGTGCCAGTCGGACGCGTCAAGGGGAAAACCGAGGACGACGCAGGGAAGGGTGCGGGCAGTGAGCTTGTCCGTGCCGGAGGCACGAACGTGAGCAAGGCAGCCCCAGACGAGGAACGCAGAAGCGTCACCAGGAGACCCAGTCCAAAGACGGGTCGGCGAAACCTGCGGCTGCTGAGGGTGCGGCCACAAGTTAAGCTGGTGAGAAGCGTAGCGCACAGCGAACGGCCACAGAAAATGGGGTGCACCGGCATGGATCATGGAGGTGCGAGCCACCTCCATGACCAAACCGATGCGTCGCTCAGTGACCCCATTCTGCTGTGGGGAGTCCGGTAGGGTGAACGTCTGGGTGATGCCCTCCGCACGACAAAAGCGACCAAGGACACCTGAGGCAAACTCGCCACCACGGTCTGAGTGAAGACGCAAGACAGGGAGACCGCGGTGGACATGCGCAGAGACAAGCCAGGGGATGAGAGCGCCAGGCACGTCGGCCTTGCGCTCCAGGGGAAAGACTGTGGTGTAACGAGTGAAGTCGTCGACAAGCACAAGGAAGTAGCGCTCTCGACGCGGCCCAGGGACGGGGGAGGGGCCCCAGACGTCCAGGTGCAGGGTCTGCAGCGGCGCGGCGGTAGGGGGAACGAGGAGGAGTGAGGGGCACGGCGAAGCCGACCCTCGACACAAGGCGTGCAAGGGGGGGCAGGGGAGGAGGGAAACGCGGGGAGAGAACCTGGGAGACCAAGGACAAGACCGTGCTGGAACATATGACGCAGACGCAGGAGCGCAGGGTGACCTAGGCGGTGGTGCCAAAGGAGAGTCGGGTGAGTGAGGGACCGACAAGAGCAGGCAGCAGCAACCTGGGTAGACGCAGCCACCTGAGGGGGCGCCCCAGCCGGGGGGGTCACGGTGTCCAGAGTGAACAGGCCGGATACCGGGTCCCGGGGGAACGTGGACAGGGGGGCACCAGTGGCGGCCTCGGTACAGACAGCATACCGCTCGTGACCAGGGAACGTAGTGGTGACGCCAAGGTCCTGGAGGCAGCCGATACCAACTAGGTTCCTGGAGAATGAGGGGATATGCAGACCTGTGAGAGAGCCCGAAGGAACCGCCGGACAGGGAAGGGTGGTGGAACTGAGGGCGACTACCGGACCACCAGAGGGGTCAGCAAGAGAAACGGCAGCAAGAACAGGAAGCGGCGTCAGGGTGGTGGAGTCGCGGAAGAAACACCGAGAAGCGCCAGAGTCCTAGGTGAAGGAAAGCGAAGCAGAGGTGTCTGGCGACGGAACGACGGCGGAAGCACCAAGACTACACAAAGCAGGGGATCCTACGCCTGACGCAGCAGGGGAGGCTAAGCTAGGCACACCTACACTAGGCAATAGTGAGTAATAAGCGGGAAGCACACTAGAGTCATCAGCATACATCACATGCAGAGCACAAACAATGGCATCCATGTCCATATCAAAAATCTGAATCTTACGACTAAGCAAACTGTGCCAGTCCGGGAGGTCTGGCGACCGGCCGAAGCGCTGACGAAAGAGGTCGTCCAGGCGACGAAAACAGCGGGGAGTGGAGTGACCGATCTTACCGCAAACGAAGCCGCGGCGAGGACCGGTCTGGATCTGGTACTGTCAACGCCCGCCGCCAGAGCCACCACTTGGCACACCACCACGCGCTCGGCCACCGCCAGCGCCGGGCCACCCGGGCGGGAGGACACTCGTCTGCCGCGTCTGCGACGGCTGCTGCGGCTGCTGCGAAGGCTGCGACTGCGGCAGCTGCTGCGGCTGCTGCAACTGCAGGGGCGGCGGCTCAGCTGGACTGGGCAGGGTCCCCTCGTCCGCTCCAGCAGCAGACGACCCGACCCCACCATTACACCCTCCCGCACCCCCGCCTCCGCCGCGCCCAACCTTGGGGCGGCGGCCCTTCCCCGAACGAAACTGCGCTGTAGCAGCAGTCTCAGCCACTGCGGCAGAGCCGTCGGAGAAGGTACACTGAGCGGGGGCACAACCCTGAAAGATAGGGACCGGCACGACACCGCTCGCCTGGGCGATGGAGCGGTGACGGGTCTCTATCACAGTCAGGGTGTCTACAAAGTCAGTGAGGGTGAGGTCTGCGGGGTGAACGCTAAGGAAGCGGTCGCAGGCGACAGCAAGGCGGTCAGGGAGGCGGGTGGCAAGCAGGTAAAGGGTAGAGGTAATGGGCAGCTGGTGGGCTCTAAGCTGTGCGTTAGTGCAGGCAGCGCGCCAGGTCTCATCTACCGAGCACAGGTGGGCAGCGAGGTCAGAGACAGTGGGGAAAGATGCAAGGTCAGGAAAGAGCAGCGGGAGGATCAAGCGACCCACCGAGGCAGCCGGAGGGGTGGAATAGCGCTTGATGACAGCATCTAAGTATGCCTGAGCAGTAGTGCGGGACCTAAAGCGAGGGCGCTCGGACGGGGGAAGGGCGTTGCTAATGGCAAGCTGGGCGACAGCATCGCGAGAAAGCCAGACAGAGCGCGCACGGGCAGTGGCAGCAGTAGACTCGCGCTCAATGGGGGTGGAGTCAGCGGGCAAAATAGCAGGGGGGTCTGGGCAGGGGAGCGTACCGTCAAGGTGTGCGGAAAGCAGCTCACCATCCTGCCGTTGGCCAGTGAGTTGGCGGCGGAGGTCGGCAAGCCACGCCTCGAACTCCAGAGGCTGACCTTCAGCGTCGAAGCGAAGCTCCGCCGCCATCAGGTACAATGCAGTACGGTGCAGGGCAGTGTAGCAAGGTGGAGTGCGGTGCTGTGCGGTACAGTGCGGTGCAGTGCGGTGCCGGGCAGTACAGTGTGGTACGGGGCGGTGCAGTGCGGGGCAGTACGGTGCAGGGCAGTGCAGGGCAGGGGGGGGGGGGGGGGGGGGGAGAACCGTACCAGTGAGGAGGACCGGGGCCGGGGCAGGGACGAGCGCAGGGGCCGGGCCGGGGCAACGGGGCCGGGCGGGTGCGACGGGGCCGGGAGGGCGCGACGGGGCCGGGCGGCTGCGACGGGGCCGGGCAGGGGGCGACGGGGCCGGGCGGGTGCGACGGGGCCGGAAGGCGTGACGGGGCCCAGGAGGGGGCTCGACGCGGCCCAGGAGGGGCGCTACGGGGCCCAGGAGGTGCGTTACGAGGCCCAGGAAGGGCGGTACAAGGCCCAGGAGGGGCACGACAGGGCCCAGGAGGGGCCAAGGAGGGGCGCGACGGGACCCAGGAGGGGTACTACGGGGCCCAGGAGGGGCGCGACGGAACCCAGGGGGGGGCGCTACGGGGCCCAGGAGGGGCGCGACGGAACCCAGGGGGGGGCGCTACGGGGCCCAGGAGGGGCGCGACGGGGCCCAGGAGGGGCGCTACGGGGCCCAGGAGGGGCGCGACGGGGCCCAGGAGGGGCGCTACGGGGCCCAGGAGGGGCGCGACGGGGCCCAGGAGGGGCGCTACGGAGCCCAGGAGGGGCGCGACGGGGCCCAGGAGGGGCGCTACGGAGCCGAGGAGGGGCGCGACGGGGCCTAGGAGGGGCGCGACGGGGCCCAGGAGGGGCGCTACGGGGCCTAGGAGGGGCGCGACGGGGCCCAGGAGGGGCGCTACGGGGCCTAGGAGGGGCGCGACGGGGCCCAGGAGGGGGGGGGGCGCGACGGGGCCCAGGAGGGGCGCGACGGGACCCAGGAACGGCGCGACGGGGCTAGGGGGGGTCGCGACGGGGCTAGGGGGGCGAGCGGAAGCGGTAGGTGGGGGGGGGGGATCCTAACCTACGCGTGATACCATATCAGAATTAGTGAAGTGAATAATGGTAGAGTGAGAGTACACACAGATATACCTAAGTATTGTACCCTCTAAGAGGCTACCCTATACAGTCTATACAAACATGACAAATACACATGTTTGACACCCTCTTCTTTCTCGTCACTTTTGCCTACTCCTAGATCTACTTGCCTCACGCCATTCCATGGCGTCCTTCCTAGTATCCTAGCTAAGCTAGTGTCCTAACTTTAGGGACCTAGCCTCCTAAGTTTCTAAGATCATGGTGTTAGACAACGACGTCTCCACTATTTTGTGGAAGTTTTGGGCGGCTTTTGGCACTCTGGCACTGCGAGCACAGTCGTGGTTTTAGGTAATTATCGATTAATATTACCAAGACAATGGATATGCAGTCAGTACAGTGCACAGCCTCCTTAAGTGTCGTTATTGCAACGGAACTAGACATTGGCTCTGATGGCCAGGTGTTATGAAGCCCAAAGAGCAGTATATGCCTTATTAATTGAAACCTAGGATAAGGAAATGTTAAATTAGATATTGTGTTATATAATTGGTAGGCTTGGTAGGTTATCGAACTCTACTGTACAGGATGGAATCCCCTCGTTGTATCCCTCTCTCTTTCTAGTTCCACCTCTTTTCTCTCGTCAACTTTCTCTCCTAGTTCTCGAGCTTCTAGACCCTCATGCCATTTCATGGCCGCCTTTCTTCCTAGCTAGTCTTTTAACCGGAAATACCATTTCCTTACATTTTTCCTTTCATTCGTTGACTCTGCTACTAGATTTGGGTGAAGAGGCCTAACATATGTCATATGAGCTTGATTAAATTCAATCCAATTCCGGTATGCGTTAGTGAAAATTTCGATAATGGCAAGTCGTCCACTCAAACACTTGTCTATTGAGGTTCCGTTCAGGTGACACGACGTTCCTCCTATCAGATTCTCCAACCACTCCATCCCTCCCCCCCCCACCCCCGCCACCAGTCCTGCAGTCGTTGCACCCCCCTGGCGGAACAAACTCCGCCCAGTGTACCACCAACCTCACGCAGCGTCCCACCAGCATTGTCTGCAAAACTCTCCTTCCCCCACTCCCTCTCCCTTAACGCTTTTGCTCTAAACCCTACCCAACCATTGCAGCTGGATATTTGATCCTACTGACTCGAATCGCATCTCTCCCAACCGAAACGAGACGTACGCTGGGGACACGATGTCAGGGCGAGCTGCTCCCCCGCGAGCAGCTCTCTTGTTTTTGGGAGTCAGTTTGGTGGGTGTGGGCGCATCCCAAGCTGCAGATTCCATTGAAATGCCTTCATTTCCACTTCTTGCATCTGACACTCCCCACAAGCATTCTCAGACGCTCTCCCACTAGAAATTTAACATCTGCAACTTTTCACGCTTTTCCGGTTGTCCTAGTCCGTTCCTCCCGCGGCCCCATCGACCCTCTCCGGCCGCCATAATGCAGCCACCGCGATGGGTGGCAGTCTTGCTCCTGCTCGCGGCGTCCGTGTCCGCACGCGTGGTGGCGGCGCACGTGTGTCCGCCGCTGGCGTGCGCGGCGACGCGGCTGGGGTACCTGTGGGACCACAACAACCAGGGCCACCTGGGGGAGGAGGAGCTGCAGGGCGACCTGCGCAAGTCGCAGCACTGCATGCTGCTGTGCCGCCGCACCAAGGGCTGCTACATCTGGATGTTCCGCTTCAGCAGCGACGGAGGTGAGCACACCGTACCACATCGCACCGTACCGCACCCGCGGGTCGTAACGCGCGCTGCTCGTTGTGATAGTGATCTAGTTTTGAGACGCCTCAAAACTGCTGTGCCGCCGCACCAAGGGCTGCTACGCCTGGATGTTCCGATTCAGCACCGACGGAGGTGAGCGCACCGCACCCGCCGGTCGTAACACGCACTTGGTTTAGCGTTATGTCGTCAAAAAGGATACGATTGAACGTCAGGAAGGCTAGGCTTTTTATATCGAACCCCGCAGCCGTGGGCTTGCATAATTTCTGCCCTCTCTGCTGGGCTTGGCGCGAAACAGCCATCTTCTGACACGTCGGCAGGTCTTGCCGTGAGTATAGCTCAAACCAGCCCGTCTGGGCTTATTGCGAGTGCGAAAACCTGCTGTATTGACTCTTCCATAGAAGTACACGAAAGTGGTCCGCTGTAGTTGCCTCATCTCCCCTTTTTCCCCTTTCCCCCTTCCCCCCCTCCTCCCCTCCTCTCGCCGTTCGTCTTTTCTGCATCGAGTTCACAAATGCGGATCTGATAAAAGTTAACGCGGGGTTGCTAGCTAAGTTTCCACATGCTGACCTACTGACTCTCGGGTCATGGTCTCCGCCCTTGCGCACTTGCACCTGTTGTTGACCCCCATGTCCCCGCATCTTCCGGTTACGGTGCTACCGTCCCTGGCCACCAATATTCAATACTGCCTATGCATCCGATGGTACATATTAACCCGCTTCGCTGACCTCCTCTCCATTTCCCCCCACGCCCCTGCGCCATCCCCCATCCTCCGCCGCCCCTCGCGCTTGCGCGCAGCGTTTTGCCGCATGTGGTCGCTGGAGCAGAGTCCGTGCAACGTGGACCCCAGCGACGGCGCGAACCCCGTGCACTACAACCCCACGCCGCCCTGGGAGGGCTTCTTCGGCTTCGGCGGCAACTGCTCCAGCGACGCCGACGCGCAGGGGCAGGCGCAGCAAGGGCCGGGACAAGTGCAGGCGCAGGGGCAGGGGCAGGGGCAGATTCCTCATGGGTACGGCCAAGGTCCGCCGCAGGGTCAAGGGCAGCAGGGACCGGGCCAGCAACAGGGGCAAGGGCAGTTCCAGCAAGGGCAGGGACAGGGACAGGGCGGTTCGCTGGGTTCAGGGCAGTTGCCCGCACCGGGTGGAGTGGTGTCAGGGCCGAGGGGGGGGCAGTGGCAGGGTGCACACGTGCAGGGAGAGGCGCAGGGGCAGGAGAATGGTCAGGGGTGGCAGGGTAACAGAAGGCAGGGAGGGTGGCAGGGGCAGGGGCAAGGGCAAGGGCAGGGGCAGGGGCAGGGGCAGGAGCAGGGGCAGGGGCAGGGGCAGGGGCAGGGGCAGGGGCAGGGGCAGGGGCAGGGGCAGGGGCAGGGTCAATTTCAGGGTGGGGTTGGTGGAGGTGGAGGGAATGGGAGCGCGGTGCCTGCTGAAGACCCCACTGTGCCCAAGGAGTACTTCCTGCCCGCCAGAGGAGGTAAGGCCAGGGCTCCGGGGGAGACGACTAGTTGCATTCACTTCGCTTGCTCTAGTCCGCTGTGTGCTGGGCGTAGCTGTGCTCTCTGTTTGTGCTGGATGTTCGGGTAGGGTGTGTGAGTTGCCTTTGTGGTACAGTTTCTGCTTATGCGTGCATTGCATATGCTTGTGTACCTGTCATCTCCCCTCTCTGCCAAATCGGTTGCCAGTGGCCCTCATTGCATCACCCGCAGAGCTCAATTCCGTCTTCCGCTCCACCCATATGCCAATGGAACTCGCATCACATCCCCTCCTCCTCCCTTCCCATCCTCTTCACTCAACTTCTCTTCTTATCTCCCCCCCTTCCCTCCCCACCCCCTGTTCCCCCTCCCCAACCTTCTTTCCCAAACCCTCTCCCTGTGTCTCTCCCCCCCAGTCCCCACGGAGCCGTGTCCATGGCTCAAGTGCAACGTGGCGACGCGCGGGTTCCTGTTTGACCACCCGGCGCGCGGCCACCTCACGGTCATCTCCACCGCCACCAGCCGCCGCCGCCGCGCGCACGACTGCTGGAACACGTGCCGCAAGACGGAGGGGTGCGCCTTCTGGATGTTCGAACAGGGCACTGCACCCTCAGGTTTGCACAGGGGGGCGGTTGATGGTTGGGGTGGGGGAGGGGTGCTTAAGGAAGGAAATGGGTGGCGGGCGTGCATTCCTGTATGTGGGTATGCTGCCTTGGCTCTGTATAAATACAGGTCCTGCTATGACCCCCCTATGTGCGCACCTCGTGTGCTAATCAGCATGCAGCAATTGTCATGCGTGTGTATGTGGGCAGGGTATTGCAAGATGTGGAACAATGAGCAGAACCCGTGTGACCCGGACATGCCTGGCGACCCCACGTCGGCGCACTTCCAGCGCAGGGAGGACAGACGCTTCGTGGTGGGCGGGCACTGCAAGGGCGGCGCCTCCAACTTCCAGTTCCAGAACAGGCAAAGACAGTTATAGCACATGCAGGGGAGTTGGCTGCAGCAGCAGCAGCAGCAGGTCAGGCTGCTAGGCGAAAGTGTTCGTTGTGGTTTTGGAGGGGACGGGGTGAAAGTCCAAGGGGACGTGGTAATTTTGTGCCCTAGCCTGAAGATGGAGATAAAATAGATGCGAAGCGTCCAACCAGGGCTGTCGTTTCAACAATAAGCACCCTGAGCTGTCGAATGGAAAAAAAAAATTACCCTGAGGGCCTTGTGTTGGAATTTTAACTTCCCTGATTTCTTAGTGTTCTGGAACTTACAACCCTGAAACCTCCAGGGTTGGCTAGCCACAAACAGGGTTGCATTGCTGAGCAGCGAACACGTTCAGGGTGTCAAACATGTGTATTTGTCATGTTTGTATAGACTGTATAGAGTCACCTCTTAGAGGATACAAAACTTAGATATATTTGTGTGTACTCTCACTTTACCATCATTCAATTATTCTGATATGGTATCACGCGTAGGTAGGATCCCCCCCCCCCACCTACCGCTTCCGCTCATGCCCCCTAGCGCCCCTCCTGGGCCCCGTCGCGCTCCTCCCAGGCCCTGTCGCGCTCCTCCCAGGCCCACTAGCGCCCCTCCTGGGCCCCGTCGCGCTCCTCCCAGGTCCCGTAGCGCCCCGTCGCGCCCCTCCTGGGCCCCGTAGCGCCCATCCTGGGCCTCGTCGCGCCCCTCCTGGGCTTCGTAGCGCCCCTCCTGGGCCCTGTAACGCCCTCCCAGGCCCCGTCGCGCCCCTCCCAGGCCCCGTCGCGCTCCTCCCAGGCCCCCTAGCGCCCCTCCTGGGCCCCGTCGCGCTCCTCCCAGGCCTCGTAGCGCCCCTCCTGGGCTCTTTCGCGCCCCTCCTGGGCTCCGTAGCGCCCCTCCTGGGCCCCGTCGCGCCCCTCCTGGGCCCCGTAGCGCCCCTCCTGGGCCCCGTCGCGCCCTCCTTGGGCCCTGTAGCGCCCCTCCTGGGCCCCGTCGCGCCCCTCCCAGGCCCCGTAGCGCCCCTCCTGGGCCTCGTCGCGCCCCTCCTGGGCTTCGTAGCGCCTCTCCTGGGCCCCCCGTCGTGCCCCTCCTGGGCCCCGTAGCGACCCTCCTCGGCCGCGTCGTACCCGTCGCCGCCGCCCGGCCCCGTCGTGCCCGCCCGGCGCCGTCGCGCCCGCCCGACCCCGTCGCCGCCGCCCGGCCCCGTCGCGCCCGCCCGGCGCCGTCGCCGCCGCCTGGCCCCGTCGCGCCCGCCCGGCGCCGTCGCCGCCGCCCGGCCCCGTCGCGCCCGCCCGGCGCCGTCGCACCCTGCCCGGCCCGTCGCGCTCGCCCGGCCCCGTCGCAGCCGCCCGGCCCCGTCGCACCCGCCCGGCCCCGTCGCACCCTGCCCGGCCCCGTCACAGCCGCCCGGCCCCGTCGCACCAGCCCGGCCGCCGTCCCGCTCACCCGGCCCCGTCGCACCGGCCCGGCCCTGCCGCACTCGCCCGGCCCCGTCGCCCCAGCCCGGCCCCGTCGCGCCCGCTCGGCCCCGTCGCCCCGTCCCGGCCCTGTCGCATCAGCCCCGCCCCGTCGCGCCCGCCCGGCCCCGTCGGGCCAGCCCCGGCCCCGTCCTCCTCACTGGTACGGTCCCCCCCCCCCCCCCCCCCCCCCCCCCCACCCCGCCCTGCTCCGTGCCGCCCTGCACCGCACTGCACCGCACTGTACCGCACTGCACCGCACTGCACCGCACTGCACCGCACTGTACCGCACTGTACCGCACTGCACCGCACTGCACCGCACTGTATCGCACTGCACCGCACCCCACCTAGCTGCACCGCCCTGCACAGCACTGGACTGTTCCTGATGGCGGCGGAGCTTCGCTTCGACGCTGAAGGTCAGCCCCTAGAGTTCGAGGCGTGGCTTGCCGACCTCCGCCGCCAACTCACTGGCCAGCGGCAGGATGGTGAACCGCTTTCCGCACACATTGACGGTACGCTCCCCTGCCCAGACCCTCCTGCTATTCTGCCCGCTGACCCCACACCCACTGAGCGTGAGTCTACTGCTGCCACTGCCCGTGCGCGCTCTGTCTGGCTTTCTCGCGATGCTGTCGCCCAGCTTGCCATTAGCAACACCCTCCCCCCGTCCGAGCGTCCTCGCTTTAGGTCCCTCACTACTGCTCAGGCATACTTAGATGCTGTCATCAAGCGCTATTCCACCCCTCCGGCTGCCTCGGTGGGTCGCCTGATCCTCCCGCTGCTCTTTCCTGACCTTGCTTCGTTCCCCACTGTCTCTGACCTCGCTGCCCACCTGCGCTCGATAGAGGAGACCTGGCGCGCCGCATGCACTGACGCACAGCTTAGAGCCCACCAGCCGCCCATTACCTCTACCCTCTACCTGCTTGCCACCCGCCTCCCTGACCACCTTGCTGTCGCCCGCGACCGCTTCCTTAGTGTTCACCCCGCAGACCTCACCCTCACTGACTTTGTCGACACCCTGACTGTGATAGAGACCCGTCACCGCTCCATCGCCCAAGCGAGCGGTGTCGTGCCGGTCCCTATCTTTCAGGGTTGTGCCCCCGCTCAGTGTACCTTCTCCGACGGCTCTGCCGCAGTGGCTGAGACTGCTGCTGCAGCGCAGGCCCGTTCTGGGAAGGGCCGCCGCCCCAAGGCTGGGCGCGGCGGAGGGGGCGGCGGGGGTGCGGGCGGGGGTAGTGGTGGGGTCGGGTCGCCTGGTGCTGGAGCGGACGAGGGGACCCTGCCCAGTCCAGCTGAGTCGCCGCCCCTGCAGTTGCAGCAGCCGCAGCAGCCGCCGCAGTCGCAGCCTTCGCAGCAGCCGCAGCAGCCGTCGCAGACGCGGCAGACGAGTGTTCTTTCGCCAGGGTGGCCCGGCGCTAGCGGTGGACGGGCGCGTGGTGGCTCTGCCGGCGGGCGTTGTCAGTACCAGATCCAGACCGGTCCTCGCCGCGGTTTCGTTTGCGGTAAGATCGGTCACTCCACTCCCCGCTGCTTTCGTCGCCTGGACGACCTCTTTCGTCAGCGTTTCGGCCCGTCGCCAGACCTCCCGGACTGGCACAGTTTGCTTAGTCGTCAGATTCAGATCTTTGATATGGACATGGATGCCATTGTTTCTGCTCTGCATGTGATGTATGCTGATGACTCTAGTGTGCTTCCGACTTATTACTCACTGTTGCCTAGTGTAGGTGTGCCTAGCTTAGCCTCCCCTGCTGCGTCAGGCGTAGGATCCCCTGCTTTGTGTAGTCTTGGTGCTTCTGCCGTCGTTCCGTCGCCAGACCCCTCGACTTCGCTTTCCTTCACCTTGGACTCTGGCGCCTCTCGGTGTTTCTTCCGCGACTCCACCACCCTGACGCCGCTTCCTGTTCCTGCTGCCGTTTCTCTTGCTGACCCCTCCGGCGGCCCGGTAGTCGCCCGCAGTTCCACCACCCTTCCCTGTCCGGCGGTTCCTTCGGGCTCTCTTACAGGTCTGCATATCCCCTCGTTCTCCAGGAACTTAGTTGGTGTCGGCTGCCTCCAGGACCTTGGCGTCACCACTACGTTCCCTGGTCACGAGCGGTATGCTGTCTGTACCGAGGCCGCCACTGGTGCCCCCCTGTCCACGTTCCCCCGGGACCCGGTGTCCGGCCTGTTCACTCTGGACACCGTGCCCCCCCCGGCTGGAGCGCCCCCTCAGGTGGCTGTGTCTACCCAGGTTGCTGCTGCCTGATCCTGTCGCTCCCTCACTCACCCGACCCTCCTGTGGCACCACCGCCTAGGTCACCCTGCGCTCCCGCGTCTGCGTCACATGTCCCAGCACGGTCTTGTCCTTGGTCTCCCAGGTTCACTCCCCGCGTTTCCCTCCTCCCCAGCTCCACCTTGCACGCCTTGTGTCGAGGGTCGGCTTTGCCGTGCCCCTCACTCCTCCTCGTTCCCCCCTACCGCCGTGCCGCTGCGGACCCTGCACCTGGACGTCTGGGGCCCCTCCCCCGTCCCTGGGCCGCGTCGCGAGCGCTACTTCCTTGTGTCTCCCGCGGTCTCCCTGTCTTGCGTCTTCACTCAGACCGTGGTGGCGAGTTTGCCTCAGGTGTCCTTGGTCGCTTTTGTCGTGCGGAGGGCATCACCCAGACGTTCACCCTACCGGACTCCCCACAGCAGAATGGGGTCGCTGAGCGACGCATCGGCTTGGTCATGGAGGTCGCTCGCACCTCCATGGTCCATGCCGGTGCACCCCATTTTCTGTGGCCGTTCGCTGTGCGCTACGCTTCTCACCAGCTTAACCTGTGGCCGCACCCTCAGCAGCCGCAGGTTTCGCCGACCCGTCTGTGGACTGGGTCTCCTGGTGACGCGTCTGCGTTCCACGTCTGGGGCTGCCTTGCTCACGTCCGTGCCTCCGGCACGGACAAGCTCACTGCCCGCACCCTTCCCTGCGTCGTCCTCGGTTTTCCCCTTGACGCGTCCGACTGGCACTTTTACCACCCGCCGTCTCACCGCTTCTTTCACTCTCGTGACGTCACCTTTGACGAGTCCGTCTCCTACTACCGCCGCTTCCCCCACCGTGGTCCCCCGGTTACCCCCCCCCTGTTCCTGGTCACCCCTTCCCCGGTAGTCCCTGCCCCTCCTCCTCCTCCTCCCCGTCCCGCCCCCTCTGGTGTCTCCCATGTCACCCCCCTTCCGTCCGTGGACCCGGTTGAGGAGTCTTCTGACTCTGGTGGCCCTCCGGTGCAGTCCTCGCCGGCCGCCCCTCCCCAGGTGTCCCCTCCCCAGTCCCCTCCTCCGCCGTCCCTGCCGCCACTGCAGCCGTCGCCGTCGCCGCCGCCGCCGCAGTCGCAGCCCCCGTTCGCTGACTCTGGGGGTGCTCGTCCCGGTCGCCCTAAGGGTGGTCCCTCTGGGGGTGCAGGTGTGGAGAGTGCCGGTGGTAGCCGAGGAGCAGCTTGCGGTCCAGGTGTCGCCGTTGTGCCGCCGCAGCAGCAGTCCCCGCCGGTGTCCGCCCTTCGCCTGCTCGGCCTTCCGTCCCCCGACCCTGCGTCGGTTCCTCCCCGACCGTCTCCTCCTCTTCCTGTCTACGGCCCTGTTTTCCCTCCGCCGGACTCGTCCCCGGCCCGTCTCCCCCCTCGTTCCCCTCCTGTGTCCCCTCCCCTGTCTCCTGACCCGACTCCTCCATCGCACGTCTGGTCTCACCGTCCCTCCCGTGCTCGTCCTGCCTCGCCTGTCCTGCGCTCCCACCCTATGTTGCTTCGTTCACACGCGTCTCGTCCTCCCCTTCTGCCGTCACCTCCTCCGTCCTCCCTTGTTGTTGCGCCCCCCCCGCTGTCCGACTACCTTCGTGCCGCTCGTCCTCTTGTTCCTCGGGTCCTTGCCTCTCT